CCCCGCGTACATTCTTTTAAATTGCCAAAACAACAATATTTTCATTTTTTTTGGAGCCCGGGGATAGGATTCACGCAATATCCTTAGTCCCTGCACTGGTCACTAGTGAAGAACATCTTTTTCCTAAGAGTGGTAGGATGAAATTCTACAAGATTCATCATTCCAGAGATACAGATGAATGTTATGAAGTATTAAGGATGATTAAGTTACAAAGTCAACAGGGAACTTCGCAGGGATGACAAATGAACGAAGATCATATTGTCCAACTAGGAAACGAGATTACAGGAGTAGTCTAAGGTAGGTCTAAGGTAGGCCAAGCTGAAGTAAGTACCATTAAATGTTTCTAGCTCTTTGACCTTGATCGAGAAGATCAATACCATAATCAGAGGCTCTTATATTGGATGGGGTATAATGAATGAATGAAGGAGCTCTAAAATGCAGGAGATTCTAGATTTGAGGTAATCATGAACTTGCTTCTCTTCCAATTACTTTCGCTAGTAATGATAAACATGGAGTCAAATACCCTCATTGCGATTCATGGGTAGTTCGGGCTATAATAGCTCATAACGGTCTTAGCCGCATGATAAAAGATAATGGCATTTTCATTAATATTTTGTTTGTGAGTGCTTTTGACCAAATGCAGGTTGATCACACTTGAATACCTCTGGACGAACCCATATATGATTTTACCAGGGACAGTTTGTTCCCAAGAGAACAGATTATGGTGACAGTTAAGCTCGGTGAACAACCAATTGTATTTCAATGACACGTGAATTTTTTAGTCATGGATAGTAAATCAGGTTCGCAAAAATAGAAAGAGCTAGTTTCACTCAGCTAAAGAAATTTCCAAGATGAACTCTATTCTACAAAAATAATTTCAACTGCAGATGAGGATTAATTTCCATTCAAAAAGGAAATTGTTGTCGAAGGACGGGGCCACATCCAGACAAACTTAAATGTTCTGAAATATTGTAATAATGTGTAAAGTAATTATAGCGAGGAGAGGATAACAATCTGCATTCCCTTTTTATTGTAACGATGATTTAATGAAATTTTATTTGGAAAAGTCGCATGGTTGAAATGAAAAATTAGCACAAGATCGATAGATTCCGATGTTGATACAAATTCATTTTAGTACATCTATGCGAGCACAAGCAAATCACAAGCAAGCAATACAATGGCTTAATGAATCAAGTCGTACAGTATAAACAATGATATTTCAATAATGAATTGCAGAAATGGCATTGTCATACAAATTGAAATGAAATGTCAGAAATAAAACAAAAAATGAGAAAACAAGAGATATTTGTCTATGTTGAAAAAAGGTTAGAGATTCCCAAAAGCTAGTAAAATTAGACAAAGTCCGAAGAAGAAGGCTCAGACTCGACGTAGGTAGTTTGCAACTGTGCAAATAATTTGTTTTGATTTTTAATTTTTTTAAACGTCAAAATCCTACAGATTGTTGTACGTAATTCATGAATTTGGGTGATTTGGGTTAAATTAATATTTGTTGGGCTCAATTTACCCTTATTTATTTATTTATTTTTTTAAGTTATAAAAATAGGCCGATCTTTGCTAAGTTAATTTTGACACAATTTTTAATACAAATGCATTTGCATTTTGAAGTCCAAGTGTGCATATGCCGTCAACAAAATGGATTGATCGCATTATCATGCGCATATCCCATATGCGAGGGGTTTCGAAAATGCGCCGAGTATATGCGAAGAATATGCATGCATTTTAGAACATTGCCTATACGTAACCTATGTTATGATAATTGTTTTGTTATTATTTTATCCATACATGTGACATTTTGTATAATGTTTGTGATCTCTAGTAAACACACATGTGATCCTTGGTAAACATTATCATTTGTGATTATTTTGAATATGCACGTGATCTTTGTTAAGATATTTCTAACTTGTGTTAAGATACTTGTGACGATCCACGTAAATTGATCGTTGTAACAAGGATCAAGTGGAGGATAATAGAATTGAGCTACGTGCATGTGGCACTGTATGGGCTTGGCCCGTTACACTAGGAGGTCAAGAGTAGCCCCCTCAAGGAATCTTCCAAGCCCATTGGGTCCATCGGGCCAGCCCGTCCCGTCCCGATTCTCTGTCTCAGGTGAAATTTTCCCCTTCAATTTTAATTGAAAAATCAAATCCAATCCTCTCGAAATTTAAAGAATTTATTTTAATTTTATTATTATTATTATTAGTTTTTGGATGGATAATGGCCGTTCATATTCGTATTCATAGTTCTGCGCCACTTAGTTATTCCATCTCCCACATAAAATAAGTTAAAATCCATTTATCCTTGAGATAGCAGTAATGGCCGCATTTTCACCATGCAGAGATATCACTATTTTATTCAAAAGTGGAGCAGTTTCATTGGTATGCTCATCGGCGTTTACTCTGCAGGAACCAAGACTGAGGCCTGCTAAGTGTTTGATAAAAGGTCAGTTAGCTGTTTTCTTGGTAACACTCTTCATTTAGTTATAGAAGTGTATGATTGTTGTTATCGCAATATACCTGTGGTTTCATGAAATTGTTTTTATTCAAACTTAATTGTAAACTTATTGATAGATTTGAGACCTTTGAAAGGATTCCCATTTGTTTTGTTCGTTTGCTTTTTTTTAGGGAAACGATAACCCAATATACAGCAGATCGTTGTTTTGGGAAGAAATTAATTGATTCCTTGGATGATCAGACTGTTGTGGCTATATTGCACCGTAATTGTACTCGTAGAATCTTGTATTATGAGTATAATACAAACTTAGATGAATGGAAAAAGTTTTAAAACAAATTCAATGTTTAACAAGATGCACTTTAATCTATTTAATTATAAAGAGATGTCATGATCATTTTCAGTTTGTACACCACATATAATTTCTCGAATAAAACATGTGATTACAGGGAGGAGGCAAAAGTGGTCTGGCTTGCTCTGAGAGATTTTTAATTCATGAACTCATCGATGCTCAACAGTATCTATCTTTTCTTGTTAATTCATGAACTAAAGTGGATTTTGACAAAATAAATTTTGAAAATTCAAGGAAAGATTTCCTAATATGCTGTATTAACTGAGAATATGGTTGTTAAAGTACAACATATCTATAGGATAAATCATCAGTGTAATGAAATTAGGATGTTGAGATAGATCTTTGGCTGCACTAGACTGGATAAGAAAAAAAAAATGGGTACATTTGCAGATTGTGTAGGTGACCAATTGAGGATGAATTAAGGAAATGACAATTTAGGTAGTTAGAACATGGGTTGTGCAGACCTAAAGAATCTCATGTTCACATGAGTGATGTGATCTTAGTAGAACACGCCTGAAGAAGAAGAGGTAGACCTAAATTAACATGATCTATTGTGGTGGTTGTAGGGGATCTAGTTGCATAAGTCTTCCAATGGATACTGCAGTGGATGACGGAATGGAGAAAAAAATGATTAATGTAGCCAATCCCAAATCTATTGAAGATGATGCTTAGTTTATTGTTTAGATAAACCTAGATACACCCATGATCATAATTACAATGATTATCATTCATGTCTTCAGTCTTCTCATGCAGCGATCTGGTTTTTATTAGTGAACTATATAATGTTTGTTTTCTCCCTTGATAATATATATTACTTGTTGAAGACGGTTTATACTATATTCTTTGATAGATAATAGGTGCAGAGCAACATAAGGTTTACTGACTTGGTAATTACATAGTGGATTTGATGTGTTTGAGATAGACTGCTAAATAGTGGTAGCAAGACTGCCATCAAATATGCTGCCACTGCCACCCCACGAAAGCTTTCTTCTTTTTTTCATTATTCCTAACCCTTTAGCTAACCACAAAAGTATTACCCATACATACATAAACAGGGATGTTTCAAAATAATTAATCCATCATGCCAACTAAAAGTTATTTAACTCTTAAACCAAGAAATGGTAGGAATTTTCTCCCATCTTCTAGGTAGCTTCTCAGTTCAGAGTTGACTTCTCATTTCTTGTCCTTTTTTTCCACGAGCAGTTCCTCTCCTCCTCTTTCTAAGTCACTTTTTTTAAGGGTTATGCCTCCTTCTATTTATAGGTCTTCGGTTAGAACCAATATCTTAATTTTATCGAAATGCTCACTTTCTATAATTGGAATTAGTATGATTATCTTAAGAGGAAAAAAAAAAAAAAAAAAGGCATCAAATTCTTCTCGTTAAAAGAAGTTTACTCTAATTTGCCATGCTTGAAGCATCAAAGAACGAGTGGTTATTCTTTATCATATCTTCAGGTTTCCACATGGCATCTCTCTCAAAATGATTGTCTCAGTATACTTTAACATAGGAAATCATATGTCGTTGTGGAACTTGTTTTTTCAATCTTTTGTATGCACAATTTGAATTTGGAACTCTTCGTAAGTCAAATTATTTTTAATTACAAGGGCTCATATCTATGATGTATCGACACGGACACGTGTGTCCGACATGATACGTGTCGAATACGTTTACACTTGATTTATCAAATAAGTATTAACATGACACGTTGTTGACATGTTGATTAAGTTATTTAAATTTTTTTATTTATATAGTATAAATTTAGTTTTACACCTATTTTAAATTTTTCTTATTGAAATTTTTTAAATATGAGTACCTATTGTTATTTGCTAAAAATTTTGATTTAAAAATATATAATATTTTTAGTTAAAAAAAAAAAAAAAAAAAGGAGATTATGGTAGAGTATCCAAAGAGTGTTGGTATCGACACGTTTCCGATATGTGTTGGACGCGAACACGCTACCTTAGTTGAAGTGTTTGTGCTACGGAGGCTCATATTCAAGAACTCAGATAAGAATTATGTTTACTAGCATGGAAATATTAAATATATCTTGCATAGAAGGGATTGACTCATTTTCAGGTTCTACTTCTTGGTTGGTCGAGTTCCACATTCAATTACGTAATCTTTTCTCTCCACACACTCCAATCATAGTGCTAATAAATACCCATTTCTTGTCAAATTGTTTTCAAATTTTAATGTAGGCACTACCACATAAGGTGCTTTGTTTTGTATTTCTTGCATGTCCCTTCAGCTCATGCAGTTGTAGATTTTTCTTTTGAGTAGGTAGCACTACAATTTTTAAGATTTGCTTGGCCATGGAGAAGAACAAATATTCTTGATTAGATCTCGTTTAATTGAGTAGACCATCAAAGACATAATCATGGAGTTTTCTGCATCCTATGTTTGAAGATTGGATTTCCAGATCTTGGCATAATTCTTGAACCATCCAGTAGCCCATATTTACTTTGCTTTCACAAAACTATCACGGATTGGGACCATGGAAGAAAATTCATCCCATTTAGTTTGTAAGCACTGATTTGGAGAGAATAATTATTATTTGGAATAAATTCCTTATGTTTTATCTGTTCATTTGGATGTTTTCAATCATCTTAGCTTTCCAGATAATACCATTATCGAAGGCTGGTTAGTAAAAACAATTGGCTACAACATAAGAAATTAATGATGTACATCTGCACAAAAAAATTGTAAAAGAACCTAGTTTCAAGTTTTTGTTGCCATCCAATTATGAAAACTATAAATGTCTCGGGCCTTTCAATAAAAATGGATTCGGCGTGCACGTTCAAGACTAACTTTAGATGAGTAAATGTGTCCCTTCTCTTATTAATTGAGCTATTAGATTAAGTGGTTCAACATGCATAAATGATTTCGTAAAAAAATGTCTTTATTGAAAAAAAATATATATCAGAAAATTATCAAGGGAATATCTGAATATGGTAGAGACCCTGTTTGGTAGAGATAAAAATCTAGATTTTAATTTAAGTCAAAATCAACAATTAATTTTAGAGGAAATTATATGAAATGTCCACTTTCACATGTCCATCTGCAAAAATGTCTACCTTCACAAATCCTTGCAAAAATGTCCATTTTGGACCAAAATACCCTTGTGAACAATTTATGATTTCACACAAAGACAAGAAATTGATATTTTTGCAAAAAATTTATTGGCCAATAAATTTTTGACACATAACTTGCCATATTTATTTCAAAAGTGTACATGTCAAATCATAATTAATGTTATTTTTCTCATTGACACAAGACGTCGAGAATTACATTTCAAGTGTAGAGAAATGTTAAGGTCGAAATGAAATATCATTCTAGATATTTAAAATGTCGAGAACATTTAATATTGTGATTTGACATGTGTACTTTTAAAATATAAACGGGATTCAACTATCGAGAATGACATTTGAAATGTCGATAACATTATTTTAATGTAGCTTCTCATGGAAGTTACTTCTCGAAATCCGTAACAAATTAAAAAAATAAATAAATTGCTTCTTTTTTTCATTAAGGGCATAATAGACAGTTTAGTACTAAATTTAAAAAGTAGACATTTTTCAATTCCCTGCTCTTTTACTTAAGGTATTAGATGAAGTGATTCAACGCATAAATGATTTCCTAAGAACGTGTCATTACTGAAAAAATTAATCAGAATATTAGTAAGGGAAGATCTGAATGTGATAAGAGTAATTCAACAATGCAAGTCTGTGGAGCCTTATTGTTCTGTTTGTTATGTTAGGAAAAGGCCGTTTTATTTCTCTGCCGTACCCATAACTTCTGATGGTGTTCCATTAGCACTCTTTTCTGCTGGAACACCGAATACAATACCCTACTTCAACCAAATGCATGAGGCTACATGATGTCCCATTTTCCGCGTTCATAATAGGCTCCTATCTTCCTTTCGTTGGGCAATTTCCATCTGGATATAATCTCTGACACTTAGCCCCGACAGTCTGCTGCTCTGTAACTCAATTTTCTGAAATTTCCTTCCTTTGCCTGCTTGCTAGGAACCTGTTTCATCTGGAAGTCTCTATCTTTTCTTCTTAGGCAGCTTATCTCCCAATTGAAGCTCAATTTAATTGCCTTATTTTCAATATGTCATATGTTGTATTGACGTTAATATCTGAGCAGAAGCATCCACAAGTTACTACCAATCCTTCCTTGAATTTATTTGTCTTCCTTGTATTAAATAATAGGGAGCAAATCATCATTATGATGGAAACTTGACTGGGTGATGTGCTACAGTCATATCCAATATAGCCCTTGATCTTAGTTAAGAAACTCTTCCATCTTCTTTTCACACACTATCTGGATAAAACCTGTTATGGAACCGATCTCGAACTAATTTACATGGGTTGAATCTCTTATTCCTCAACCATGCTCCGCCATTCTAAGCCTACACTTTCAGTTCAAAAGTAAAATAGAAATCCTCTACCATCTGAGAAAAGAAACTTAGTCTCGTTAACACCATTAGATGATACTGCAGCATTCATAGAGAAGCTTGACATTGAGAACAGACTTTATTCGACATGCATAGATCTCGTCAGGATATAAGAACCGCTTATTTTCGGTGGGTAGTTATACTCTTCATATGCTCTCTCTCTCTCTCGCATACCTTGTCCACGCCCATTTTATAAATGATATTCTATTGGTGAAGTAGCAAAAGGTGAAAATCCAAATGAACGAGATACGCGGAAAGAAAACCAGAAGACAAAAGGTCTAAGCAAAGTCCTCAACGGCTAGAGTCAAGAATTCATAACCTGATGATCTTGGTACTATGAATGTTAAGAGATTAAATGTGATATTAGAAGTGAACCACTTAAAATGTACTCTATCATAGCCTGACATTTGAGATAGGTGAAGAAAACTATGAGAGACCAAAATGAGACATTGAAACTCGTACTTGTACTCAATTGTGTTGGAACTTCTATCAACTCTACATGTTACATCCTGGCTGATATGTAATTGTTTCAATATAGGATGAAGAGTATTAAAAGCTTGCTCATACTAACGGCTGTATCTCTTTTGTTCAAATTTTCAAATCGTTAAATCGCTGTCATTAAGTTTGGTACACAAACAAGATGATTTTTATTGCTCCTTTACTGCTTTACTAGCTTATAGAAACCAGATACTTCTGCATTTTCTTAATTTTAGAGCACCATGAAAAGTTTACAAAATTGCACGTGTGATATACTTGGCTTAATCAATATACAGTTTCATCATTTAAATAGATGGTTGATCTTTATACAAAATAAACTAAATCTGTTGCACTAGATTTCTTAAAACTACCAGTTCTGGCAAAGAGGTAAGGAATTATAGAGATAAGATCTGCGACATCAGAACTCAAAAGGCTTAAAACTTACAGAGAAAAAAAATCCAATTTTACATTATCTGAAAAATTGTCCACTGGCCATAATACTGGAGGAACAATATTTGCATTTTACAAATTCATAACATGTTTTATCAATGAAAACAAATCAATGCAGGGTTCTACTTTTTCTTATGCTCTTATTCATGAAGTCAACATTTTGTTCATGTATGCAATTTCTAATGTTGCGTGCTGGGATATATTTATAAACTGAGTATTTGATGTCTAAGGCAGTGTCTTTCTTGCTTTTCTCTCTGTCGTCCAGTCCAAATGATGGATCTTTTGTTTTAATTCTAATCACAGAAAGGGTCATTTCGCAAAGTTTTTTCTCAAGTGGAGCATCCGTTTTTCCGAAGAAAACATCTTGTGGATTAATAATTAAGAAAGTACCTTCTACAATTCCCAGATGCAGTGATGCCTCTAACTCGAGTGGTGGTAAAGATGAATCCTCAGATCAGCAGAAGGCATGTCTAGACAACTACTGCTCAAAGATATAGCTATAGTTTATATTCTGTCCTGGGAATATGAAGTCTATTTATATTGTTAAAAATAAAATTAGAGTTTTAATTTGATATATTATTTCTTGATTGCCCATTATACTTGTTGCATAACAGTAACTGCATTTTCTCCCAGCAGTACCTGCGGTACAATTACTAAAGGTTTTTGCTCCCAAAGTTTCTGAAACGATGGCTAAACATTGATGAATCAGAAACTCAATGAAGCATAGTAAAAACTTAATGAAATGAATACTCATAATATACCTAACATTGTCTAATTGGATCATTATCTGAATATGCAATGATCTAGCTATAAAGTATTATCATGGGATTTTGTTTAATGATTTCAACTTCAGTTAAATCATATTTTGAATTTCCCCCCTGTTGTAGACACCTTTCGGATACACAAGAAAGGATGTTTTACTGATCGGACTTGGAGTTACTCTTGCTGGCATTGGCCTGGAAAGAGGATTGGAGGTACATCTTGTAAAGATTTTCCCTTGATTGTTTTTTCTCCGGATTCCACATGGTCACTATGTCCATTTGACATGTACACACGCAAACAGTATGATTGATGAAGTATCAACTGAGCATAGCTGTCCAATTTGCACAAGGAATGGCTCCACCTGAGAGAGACTTCAGCTCAAAATTATCAGCACATTCTGACCTGACCCATGTTCTTTATCTTATGTAGTTCATTGGAGTTGATCCGTTACAAGCTGGGAATGTTGTTCAGTTAGTCCTAGTGTTGGGGCTTACAGTTGGATGGATTTCTACTTATATATTCCGAGTTTCAAACAAGGAAATGACATATGCTCAACAGTTGCGCGATTATGAAGACAAAGTCATGCAGGTTATACTGTAGCCTAAAACTGTAAAAGCTCAAGAATTTTTTTTCTCATTTACTCGTGGTATATTTTGCTTTCTACATTCTAAAAAGTTCAGCAGGAACATCAAAAAATCATTCAGTGTTTGAAAATGTGGAATTTTTGCAATTTCTCTACATGAAAATAAGCATTAGATTGCCTATCTAACTGATTATACACTGCGATTAATAAAAAAAATTGTCTGATCTTTTTGGACTTATTCACATAGATTATTAGAGCTTCAGTGTTGCTCGTCTAATTTGATGTGGATGTTATATTGCATCATTCATTATGTTCTGGTTCAAAAAACAAAAAGGAAAATCACAATAATCTCTGTCACATGAAATTAATATTATCCTGAATTTACTTCTTTACACTTATTGAAAATTAGTCTGAAACTGATACTTTTTTAACTTCACAGAAAAGATTAGAGAGTTTGACAGAAGCAGAGTTAGTAGCATTGCTTGAACAGGTTGAGGAAGAGAAGAAACGCGTACCTGGTGGTGAGCAACAAGTCAAATAAAGGTAGTTTCCATTGTTGATACTTTTCGAAATAGCCAAGAAAAATAAACAGTGGATATATTAGTAGTTCTGTACAAACTTATCATGATGTTAAAAGTATCTGATAGGGAGGCGATAAATCTTGCAAGGCCTTTTCTCTTTATATAGTAATGAATGGTTGTTCAATCCCTTATTTTCCTAAATGAAATAGGTAAAGTTTGCAGCATTGGTCCTTGATGTATTGTTCTTGTGCAATCATCAATCTTTCACTCTAGCTGCATAATTAGTCGTCTACAACAGTAAATGTCTACATCTCCATTAAATAACACTGTGTTCCCCAAGGTAGAAAATCTAGCATAATATTTCTTGGCACCAATCCAAGTTTTCATATAAAATCAACTTTCATAAATTGGACATATTAGAGTAATATAACTATTTGGCATAACGACGAATGATTGTGCAATAATAATGTACGCTAAGGATTAATTTGTTCAATTTTAAATGTTGGGGGATCAATTTACTACACACACACACACATATATATAAACTAGGGTGCATTTCCCATAAGCATTTTGAATTTGGATCTGAATCCTGAATCTAGTATTTTCTTTTTTTTTTTTTTTGAACCCAGAGTTGAAATAAACAAATTCCTCTCACCTAATCTGGGGTTTCCTTCTTCAAACTCACTAAGCCTTGTTTGATACCCATTATTCTCAAAATACATTTCTCTCTGATGGTTGTTGCGAAGTGTGTAATCTAGCGATCTTTTGGGGCTGGGATTACTCTATATTTGCTAGAATATGTAACTGTGCTCAAAATACAAGTTAGAAAGCTTGCTTAATTTATATTGTGCAATCCTTAACTAGCAGACTAGATAGGGGTCGTTAGCTAGTTAAAGTAGACGACATTTTATCAATATTTTTGTTTTCATAATATTGTAGTAAGATTCTAAGACTTCGTGATTTCATTCGACTCTAACAACATCTTCCACTTAATTACAACTCTCAAGTGGAACATGTTAGTGACCTTAGAGCATCTTCAAAAGACTTTCTACTTCTAAAGAGCATATTCTATAATTTGGGTGGCATCTATCAAATCAGAGAGTTAAAATTTTGAAGTATTCTAACAAACTCTTTATATTTAACATTGAATATTTTATTACTCCCAAAAAATATTTATTATTTCTTCTATCTTTTATTTTAACTAGGTTTTCTTTAGATTATTTTATCCTACATTAAAAATTGAAGCACTTTGAATGTATTTAATTATAAGAGTGGGTTTGGATCTCCAAATTTGGATGGTCAAACCTACTCTCTAAATTAAAATATTAATTTAAAGAGTCTATTGGAGCATGATTTTAAAGGTTGATTCTTTAAAATATGAAGTATCTCATATTTAAAGAGTTTCTTGGAGATGCTCTTAGTAGGCAGAATGAACTTCTCCTAAGTAGGAAAAATTCACTGATAATATTGTCTAAGTTGTTCTTCCTTCCAAGGGTGCTTGAGAAGCTCATCCTTTTCGTTCACAAGCTGTTTGTGTTTTTGGCCTTATAACTTCAACGACCTGTTTGACCCTTCCCAACTTGGACCTAAAGAGCCTAAGCCTATTTCTTTGTCCACCCCAAAAATTTTCTTTAAAACCAGGTCTCTTGCTTTAAAGATTTCTCCGCGAACTTCTAAGTTAAAATAGTTCGGCCTAGATTCTCTTCACGCTCAGTAATGGCATAAAATCTAGTTTGCCCTTTGACGAATTTCTTGGTTTCCGCTGCTGTTGCTTCTATTTCTGTTTCTTTAGGAAAATCTTTATTATGTGACTATCTCACCATAGTTGTAGCAGGCATTGATCCACATAAGGCACGCTCCAACATTGCACTTCTGGCACTTGCCACATATAGGAAGCTCTTGATAATTGCTCGAAGTTAGGTCCCCTTTTCTCCTTTCTGCAAAGTTCTGCTTTCATTTGCCCTTGTTGTCCTCCTATTTACACTCCTTCGGTGGTCAAGGCTGCTGTTTGTTAGTGCTGTTGGAGTTTTCTCTGAAATTGGCTAGCTGTGCTGTGGTATGTACCGCAACTCAAGGTTAACTATTGCTTGTTGAAGCTCATCATGCAAATCTTGCTCAAAGCATCTCACCTTCGCTTCCTCTGTATTGACTAAGGGTGGGAGCATAGTGAGACAATTCTTCAAACTTTCTTTCATAACTCTACCAAGATCAGATTTCCTACTTGAACATTAGAAGCTCTGCTTTCTTTTGGTTTTGAATGTTTGTAGGGAAATTCGTTAATAGGAATAATTCTGTAAATTCATTCCAATTCTAGCCTTGTGCAAGTGCCCTAGACCTGTTAGTCATTTCTCACTAATGTCGTGCTCCTTTATTCAACATAAACGTTACACAGATCACCTTTCAAGTTTTTGGGCACTCAATGAGTTCAAAAATTCATTCTTATTTTCCCACCCACTCCTCTGCCGCTAGCAGAGTCCATGCCACCCTCAAAATTAGGGAGTTGCAGCTTACGAAATTGCTCCACCACTATGACATTACTTATTGCTTGCATTTCTAGAGCAGGTTTCCATGTCCTTAAATTAAACGTAAATATAAAATTAATCAACCACAAAATTAAGAATGAATAAACAAAAATAGCACATTTTATTTCATCCAATTTTAATAGCTTGCATAACAAAATGTATGTTTTTGTATCTAATTTATCCACTTATTTAAATAAATTCTACTCCAAACATAGCAGTCTCACATAATTTTCTATCATCTAAAAATTTCCTTCCACGCTCTCATCTTGGCCTGCTCCTTGATTCTCCCTGGGGTTTGGTTCGAGAGGCCCATCGAAATATGATGCAGGGTACTTTGAGCTTTCGTTAGGGTCTTCATCGAGATCTTCCTTGACCAATTCCTTGATAATTTTACCTTTATTTTCAACTTTCATTAATCCTCAAACGCGAAATCAATACGGTAGGAAGATCGGATACGCTAAAATTTATTCAAATCTCTAAATAAGCTGCCTCCAATAAGGGCTAAGCGTCCTACAGAAAAGATAAGACAATTTCATCTATATGGAAATCGTGTCCATTGCTTTCCACCATCTGGTGATTCTTTCAACGGCATCTAAATGCTCCAAAAGGTTGTGATTTGGGTTCCTCACACATGTCCTATGTAACCCCAAGAACATCTCACATCTTTAAGTCTAGTCTCTAATCGATTGCAAGCGTCCATTTACCCTCTAAGAAAACAAAATTATAGTTTCTTAACTTTCTAATTTAAACAAATGTATATTACGTTAAGCACATTATATATAATTAAACATGCTCCATAAATCCTACTTTCCTTAAATGTAGGTTCCAAAAATGAAGATTACCATAATCAGAAGTTTCTAAAATTAGATGTTTCTAAATTTGAGAACTTTCCTAATTGGGTACTTTCTTAAAAGTATTCCCTAATTTAAAGGATTTCTGTACATATGAGTTTATAACTTTAAATCTTTCCGTAATTAGAAATTTCGAAATTTAAATTTTTGTAAACATACACGTTCCAAATTAGGAAGTTTTCGTAAATAAGCACATGTAATATGGAAATTATGTGTAGCTAAGCACATTTCCATAAACAAGCATGATTCTAACATAATCTGATACGTATTCATACTTACACAACATTAAGCTCATGTTTGGTTCCCATTATTTCTTCATTAAAATGAAAAATATGACCGTTATCCATCACATCAAATTATCAAATTTGAATTTCTATCTCTTATGTAGAGCCCGTAACAACTATATTTTTCATTTTCATTCTTCCAAAAATGAAAAACAAATGGGGGCTAAAATAATTATGGGTTGTTATATTTTTCTACCTAATTCAAGGAATCAAAGCTTGAAGTTTGTCATGGCGTAGTGATGGTCTAAGAACATCAAATCTTAAAACTTTATATATATAATGTTCACCGAAAGTGAACAATAACTCGTATTGTTCATTTTCGATGAATAGTAATAGAAAAGTTCATGTAGTGTTCACGGGTCCGACACTTTTTACATTACTGAACAATGTCCTGTAATCGAACTTTCATGTGAACATTGATTAAATTTTTTTTTTAAAAGCCAATCATAGGAGTGTTCACATTAGTGAATAGTCAATTTTTTTTTAAAGGAGTCCACAAAAACATAGATCCGCTCTAAAACCATATTGTAACAATCCAAAATATACCCTTGAAATCATTAAATACATAGTGAAATAAAACTTTCATAAGAAAGAATTAATTTTACCCCAATATGACGATAGATGGAAAATCAATTATTTAATCATAAAAATAATCCAACAATTTTTTTGAAAATCATAAGTCATGTCCTTTTTATTGTACCACAACTAATTAGTTCCAAACTTCAACACCTCAAACTTTAATTGTCTGAGAAAGGGGAAAATTGTAAAAGGTGAATAAAATCTCAATAAGTGAACCACTATGAATCATATTTCTTATTTACAATTAGAAATTTCTAATGTATGTAGCGAGACACGAGAAATATAAATTGAACTTAGATGGTAATGATTCCCGTGCGTAGAGCTAGGGAAATCTGATCCCTTTAAAATTATGTATATACGACCCATATCATATTCGTAAATCTAATTCCATGATTTAAAGTACGAAAAATAATTCAATATACATTGTAGAATTGCACTTACCTTGGCAATTCGTAGGGGAAGATTTGAATTCAACAACTAACTCTACAGTATGTCACTGTACGTGCTTGCATGGCGTGTTTAGCTACATTTCTTATTTAACCATGGATGGAATAACCCGTATATGGTAAAAGCAGCCAAGAAAGGAATTTTCATAACTTATCTTTCACATATATGAAAATTTACTTAAGGGCTTGTTTGAGTCCCATTTTTTGGAAGAATAGATTTTGTGATAGTAATTTTTTAGAAAATGTGTGGTTAAAAACTAGAAAAAAAGTTTTTGATTACGTATAAAATATTTTATTTGGCAGAACGTATGATTGAAAATAAAATTGAGAAAATATTTTTTTAAAGAATAATCTCAAAGGAAGGCTTATTGCTGAAGTCGGCAAATCAAATCTTTCTTCTTTTAATTCTTTGAAAAATTAGACTTGATCGTTGATGTGACAATGCCACGTCAGGGTGGGCAATTCTCGTTAATTTACTTCAATCCATTTTCTAATTAAGCAAATTTTTC